AAAAGCCAAATCAAAATGTCATTTTACCAAACACACATGTTGGCTATTTGATCTGATTAAAACATCAATAATAGTCAAATCAGCCAAAAAATGGCTGAAAAGCTCATAACCAAACACCCCCATATTTTGGTTACGTTCATTCAATATTTGATTCATGTTTTTTAGTTTGCTTACTTTTGGTTTTTTTTAACCTGGTAAACAAACCAACCATCACGCGGTAAATGCATTGTCTACTTTTGACACATGAGTACTGCTTTTGCACATATGTGATCCATCAGGTTAAGAATCTTGAGGTACACACTTTGTGTACACACTCTTACACACTCATGTCTGTAAGACGTTTTTTATGTCTATCCCAGACAAAACGTATTTGTTAAATACGTTGTCTGGGAGAGACATGAAAAAAAGCCTTCAAAGACATGAGTGTGTAAGAGTGTGTACCAATAGATTTTTTCTCATGTTAATTCCCAAATCCCGACACCTCTTAAGTATGGTATATATTGATGGGAGGATCATATATGATAATGTGAAGAAGAAATGATAATTACATTAATGTACATAAATTGTTCAAAGTTATAGAAGTGGACTAAACGTGGGATATGCCCAATATTGATGGATAGGGATCCTCTGCCGCACGGCAGAGTCCCTTTCGCGTCGGACGACAAGGCACCAGTGAGGACAACCTCGAGATTGACGAAAGAGTAGACTCCAAGATCTCTCGCCGTTGAATTTTCAATTGGACCGTTGTCATGAAGCAAGGCATTCTACCTTATTCTAAAGCAAGGGAGAGGATCCTGATTCAGTATTGATAGAACCAAAACTCCAAAAGTGGAATTTATTCCCTTACTAATACAGCTTATAAAAAGCCGTTTTGCAAATTACTCTTCCAACTCGTTATCTAATTCCCAAGGATTACACATGTTCGGTCACAGTTGGCAACTTTCACTTAAACATCAAAGGAAGGTTTTTGCCTAGTCTTAAATATTAAGTTGCATGTGACACAGCAAGAAAAAGAGGGCATTTCAATACTATAAATGGAAGTTTAGTGCTTTTCTATTATAAGCATGATAAAAACATGTTACATGATGACATTTCAAGTTTGAAGGCTTTCGCTACATGTCTATATCAGTATATATTATGTGAATAGAAAAAATATTTTTTCTGTTCACAAAAAAAAAAAAAAAATAGTCTATTCAAGACAACAAACTGGCGTGTATATGACGGGTAAGCAGGAAAGCGTGTACAAACAGTAATTTTCTTAAGGTGTATACTCCCTAGTCCCTAACAGGGGCTGAGGTAGAGAGTGGCCAACCTGGGCCCTCATCCACATCAAAATTTTTTTAAAAAAACTTTAATTTTTAGTGTAATTTTTTTTTCATGTAATTTTTATCGGCACTATTCTTTAGGAGTGGGCACGGTTGGTTAACTGCATTTTGGTTAACCAATTTTCGGTTAACCGTGATATTGGTTACGCAATTTTATATATCGTTACCCGTACCATAACATTGGTTAACCGGATACCGGTTAACCAATATTTCGGTTAACCAATAACGGTTAACCAATAAACCGAAAGAGAAAGATAAAATTACCAATATTTTTGTTGTTTTAAACTTTGTACATACGGAGCACAATTTTTTAAACGTAGAGCTAGCCAGCTAGGCAACTAGTTTTTTTTACAGATAGCTATATAATAATACAGTAATACATAGTTTTTTTTGACATATTGCTTTTTTTTTAAGTAGAGTTTCCCAGCTAGGCATAATAATAATACGTAGTAATAATAATACGGAGTAACTATACAGAGCAACACTATATGTACGTATTATAATATATTCCACATGATTGTTTGGGAGGGAACTGGAAGCATGAGCACAATTTTCATGGGAAGTACGTCGCAGCTCGGCGCAAATGTTACAAAACATGTACATGTTGATTAACCGGTATTAACATAATCTTAACCATAACCGTACCATTACCGTTTTTTCTTTGCGGTTGGTTAACCGTACCGTAAGCTTTTAAACAATCCGGTACGGTTAACCGGAAAATACATCGGTTTTTCGGTTTTTTGGTTTGGTTAGTCGGTTACGGTATTTGGTGCCCACTCCTACTATTCTTCTAGCGTTTGTCCGGTATGGTGGGATCATCTAGGGCCTTTTGGGACGGAGCTTGGGCGGATACAGAGGTGGTGACTAGCAGGTACAGAGGAGGCATGGCGAGAAGTTTGGAAACATGGGGTAGGCCATTCCTACGCATTTTTGGAGTCTGTGGCGGAGGCGTGCATCTTGGTAGCGAAATTCCGATTGGGACCAATGCGGTTCGCGGCGGTTGAAGAGACTTTGCGCAGCTATTTCAGTCCGAATTTGCTCAGGTAACTATGGGAATAGTTAACTGGAATGGTCGGGGATTGGGGATTCTCGCTACTGTCCAAGTTTTGGCCGATCTAATGGATCTGTTGACGGAAACTAAATAAGTGGCTAGAAATTTTGTTCTTGATGGAAACTAAATTGTATGGTCAAATGGAGATGTAGCAAGATGAGGTGTTGACGGACCATCTACCTCCCGAACCGCCGCCTTGAAGCGACCGTGGGGCCGAGGCTTGGAATTCGAAATTTCAACAGTGGATCTGTTTGACTAGGGTTCGGATGGGGTGGAAGCAAGAGAATTCCATCAATTGAGTTTTTACTTTGTTTGCTTTTTTCATTTAGACTGAATTTGCTTGTTTATCGCGTTGTCTTTTTGTCGTACAATAAGGGGAGAGGGTATGTGTGTTGGTTTTGTCTACTTGGTAGAATTCTTGTTGGAGGCAATCAGGCTGCCTCAGCCGCTAATAGCCTTTAGCTCTCATTGTTTCGGCGATGAGTCTCGCTCTTTCCGAGGTGGACTATTTCATGTCTGATCATGACGTGAGCGGGCTGAAAGGCTTTTGGTATTGCTTGGATAGAGGGAGATTTAGATTTTGATACATGATTGTTGCTTTGCTACGTTTGATTTTAATATAAGCTATTTCCCTTCAAAAAAAACTTTTTTTTCATTTCAAATTGTTATCTCAACTTCTAATCAATATAAGCAGATACAGTGCTATAAAAGAGTGTTTGACATATTTATAACGCAAGTTTCAATTTTTTCGTATAGAAAACCTAAAAGTCGGAGTTTGACCCCAGAATAATGCTAATTAAATAAATAATTCCCGAAACAATGTTGGACTTAACCACAGTTAACCTAAGCCGCACTCGAAGTGGCGGTTCTTCATCTTCGTGTACAAAAGCCGTCACTTGAAGTGACGGTTCTTCTATACAATACAAAAGCCGCCACTTCAAGTGGCGGCTCATTAATAAATAGAATACACCTTCTTCCCGGACGCTGAACGACGAAATAAAAGAGGGGAAACTTCCTCTGCTCCTGCAACTTATATACTCCAAGTGGCCGCTTGTGTACAATTTGATGAAGAGCCGCCACTTGAAGTGGTGGCTTTGCTTAACCGTGGCTAAGTCCATCAGTATTTCGGGAATTATTTTTAACCCAACAGTATTTTGGGAATTATTTATTTAATTAACATTATTCTGGGAAAAAACTCTAAAAGTCGTATTTACAAATTAATGCTTCATACTGAAAAGATTTAGCGGAATTTGATTGTCAATGTGGTCTTTTTTTATTATCTTGAAAGCGAGATTTGGAAGTTATTTGGAACAAGAACGAGTTTCCCCGTTAAGGTTACAGCTCATGCTCCTCTAGTCCTCTCAATCCCCTTCATGGACCACAATGAATCAGATCTGACACGGTTACACACTTACCGCCAAGTCACTTTCCTTTATTGTGAAATTTTAGAGCCCGTTTAACAGTGAAATTGATTGAATTGGCTTAAATTTATTGACCGATCTATATGAAAAAGATATATGAAAAATATATTATATTAATGCAATAAAGAAAAAATATATGAAAAATAGTTAAAATGGTTCTTTGCAGTAAGTTTAGTTAATCCTGTCAGAAAAGTAATTTAACTTTACTTATTTAGATTATTATACAACTCAACACGTGACGTTAAAAGTTACTCAGTTTGGTGAAAAAGTTGATTGATAAGATAGATAGGTCAAAAAATAGGATCATCAAACGAGCTCTTAATATAGATCTTTGATTTTTACAAATGACTATCATTGATAGACAAACTTTTGAAATCATTTTTAAATTTCACTACAATAATTGAATATTTGATGGATTTAAAGATTGAGTGTCGACGTAGTTGGAGGATCAAAATATTGTGTCGGTGCACAATATTCAAAAGTGAAAATTTAAAAAAAGGCAGTAGCAAATACATCCCAATTGCACAAAAGTCAAGTGACTAAGTGAAAATGTCAAAAACAATTACCAAAAGACATTATAGTTATAATTTGAGGACTACAGGTGAAAAAAACTTTGCCAGTACATTTAAATTATAATTTTAGTGTGAGAGAATGGAATGTCTACAATATACATAACCTCACCTTAAGCATGCACCTGCCCAACCACAATGGGCGCGTTTGTTTTTCGGCGGTTCCACGCCAATCCGCTGCTAATAGCAGCGTTTCTAAGTTATAAAAAACAGCGGTTATGCCAACCGCCAATATCCAAATAGGCTCAATAATGGAGGAAAGTTAATAAACATGTGGACGAAAGCCTGCAGTTAAAAAAAGAACAGAAATCCAATTTTTTTATGAATCTGATTCATTCATTCATCAGTGGAAGATAAGTCTAAAACAGTACCATAGCTGCCACATGTTTGAGGTAAATAATAATTGAAGGTGGCCATCAAGATTTGCTGTGATATTTTCTGCAAAAAGCAATCTTTAACCAAGACAGCTGGTGAAGGACATGAACTTCTTCTTTTTCATCTCCTAGTATAAGTCAGTTTTTACTGTGCCAATGAGGTACTACTCCAGGGCAATCTTTTACAGTTCACTTATAAGTCAATGAATACCCCACACCCTCACTCCCCTATAAAACTGCTTCACTTGTAATCCAATTGACTATCTCTCTCAGTCTCTCTCCATCTATCTATCTCTATCACTCTGTCTCTTGGGATGATTGCAATTGTCTATTTTGGAATTGTTTTAATGCTAAAGCTGCATGTGTTATAAGACACACAACCAACTTTATTATCTCTTATTATATATGCTGATAGTCTGATAGCTGAAAGCACAACATAAATAAAGCAACATCCTAAGTAGCAGAAAGAAAAAGATGGCAGCAAAGCAAATCCAACAAATGCACTCCACAACACCAGAGGTATGAATATAGAGAATCTTAAAGACTTAAACAATACTCCCATGACCCAAAATGGTCTTTTTTTATGATTAAAAAATGGGCTTATTTGAAAACTTATTTTTATCCCTAAAAGGGATCCTGTTTTCTAAAACAATACCTTTAATGTATTTTGTTAATGTCTAAACAAGCTAAGTATGTAAGATTTAGTTAAACCAAGAAGTAAAGTGAAAAGTATATCTAGAATAGTTGAGTTCCAAAAGTTGACCTTGCTGGCTTGCTAAAAGTAAAAAATTATTCTGAGGTAAGAAAAAAATAACTCTTTTCCTGGTGGGTAGGGTGGGGGCAGATGTAGTTCAAGAAATGCTAAAATAACACATTCTAGATTGATCATCCTCACATCAACTTGTTTTTTATTTACTTTTTTATTACAACGTATGCAGATAGCAGAAGAGCTGAAGAAAATGATAGACACAGGCTTTCCAATGCTGGCAATGGGGTTGATAAGCTACCTGAAAAACATGATCCTAGTAGTGTGCATGGGAAGGTTAGGAAGTTTGGAGTTAGCTGGCGGTGCATTAGCCATTGGCTTCACTAACATCACTGGTTACTCTCTATTGTCCGGCCTAGCCTTGGGAATGGAACCACTCTCCAGCCAAGCTTTCGGCTCGAAAAACTTCAACATTCTTTCCATAACCTTACAGAGAACAATAACAATGTTACTCATAGCATCTTTACCCATTTCCATCTTGTGGTTCAACTTGGAGCCTCTCATGCTATGGCTTCACCAAGATCCAAGCATAATACACATTGCTGCCCTCTTTTGCCAGTTTGTCATACCAGACCTTGTTGCTAATAGCTTTCTTCACCCTTTACGCATCGATTTACGTTGCAAAGGGAAGACATGGCCACTACTATGGAGCACTTTATTCTCAACCCTCTTCCATCTCCCCATAGTCTATTACCTCACATTCACTCTTCATCTTGGGATTCAAGGAATAGCAATTTCCACTTATGTTGCTAACTTCATTAATGTCACCTTCCTTTTAGGCTACATGTTTTGTACCAAGGAAGATGATGAGCCATCCTTATATAAGCAGTCCCTAGCCAACATAAACATGAGGCCTAATACTTCACTAGGGGAGGAGTGGGTGATCCTACTCAGGCTCGCTATACCGAGCTGTTTAGCGGTTTGTTTAGAGTGGTGGTGGTATGAATTCATGACCCTTTTAGCCGGTTACCTCGATAACCCTCAAGTCACACTAGCAACAGCAGCAATTGTGATACAAACAACATCTTTGATGTACACATTGCCTTCTGCACTTAGCAGCTCAATTTCTAGCAGAGTTGGGAATGAACTTGGAGCAGGTAGAGCAGGGAAGGCCAGGTTGGCCACAGATATAGCCATAGTTATGGCCTTTGTGGCTTCAACCTTTGGAATCTTACTGACCACCTTAGGAAGAGAGGTTTGGGTCCGAATCTTCACAACAGACAGTGAAGTTCTTGAACTGACAGTTACTGTGTTACCCATCATTGGACTGTGTGAACTGGCTAACTGCCCCCAAACTACATGTTGTGGAGTCCTCAGAGGAAGTGCAAGGCCTAAAGTTGCAGCCTTTATCAATTTCTACTCTTTCTACTTCATGGGGGCACCTTTGGCTGTAATTTTGACCTTTGTTTGGAAGCTGGGATTTAAGGGTCTTTGTTATGGTCTATTGGTAGCTGAGTTGGCATGTGTGGTATCAATGTTAATAGTGATTTACACAACAGATTGGGAGAATGAGACAGAGAAATCCAAAGGCTTAGTGGGTAAAAGTGGGAGAGTTTTGGACGAGGACCTAATTATAAAATACAGGGGAGAGGAGCTTAGGTTTTGCATTGAAGAGGGGAGTGGGTAGATTTAGAAAAGTAATACTGGCATTGGCATACTTGAAAAAGCAAAAAAAGGGAAATTTTTTAATTTTTGTAATGGGAGTGTTTAGGTCTTAATACTACCTACTATGTATATGTTAGTGTGTTACTAAAGTATCAATCTGTTCTCCATGTTAAAAGAATGAAATAAAAGATTGTACATGACTTGCTCAAAACTTCAAACATATTGATTGAAAGCAGGGGTAGAGCCGTAGAGGTAGGGGGCCTGGTCAGGCCCCAAGCAATTCCCAATTCGAAAAGTGCTTGTATTTTTAGTGTAGAAATTTATGTGTAAATTTTTTGCACCGTCTCACCACAACTTTTGCTTCCTTGCTTAAAATTGTTTCCAATTCATATTACTCATATTATCCTTTCATTATAAGCAGCTGTATGCAATATAGCTGTCTATAGAGCTACCAAATGAATAGCTGATTGTTTTCAATTCATATTTTAGAGGAAAGATAACTCCTACAAGTGAAATAACTAGCCCTTCCTTTAGACTTCTCTAGGGCGTTCATTAGCCATGAAAGTTCAAATTTTCATGAGAAAGTTAAGGTCAAAAAGTGATTGTCCTATTATAAGAAGACTTCCACTTATGGTCTGATGGAGTGTATGGCCCGGGAACCCCCGGTCCACAGCCCCCTACTACTCCAATAAAGGCCCAACAGATCCAGGAAGCACAGCAGGCCCAAATCACGGCGCCCCAAGTACTAAGCAACCCACGTGGCACACTAGGGATGCCTTCGACCCCTGGCCGAAGGCTCCAATTCTCACAGGATGGCCAAATCAAGAAAACAAAGTTACTGGGAGAAAACGGTGAAAATCAGTAGCCCTCGGCACCTAGAGCCCTCGACACCTAGAGCCCTCGGCACTAAGGAGGTCCCCGACATAATATCCGTTCCACATGCGCAGGGATCACCGTACCAAGTACGACGTCCCATCCAACAGCCGCATTAAATGCGGCCACATGCGATTGCCAGCGCCAACCAGTTGAGGTGACCCCTCGGCCAATGGATGCTTGACACGTGTCCCTATCTGGCATTTATTGCTACTATAAATAGCACCCCATTTCCCCATTTGTAACCCAGAAGCAAATACGCTGAATACATTTCTAATATACTCTCTCTCTACTTACTAGCTCTGACTTCTCTCTAGTTATTCCCCGTAATAACCCCTCGGATAAGCTACCATTCGGGTATACTATCCATCATTTGGTGCTTTCATTGAGAGGTCGAACAATCAAGTAAGAAACCCTCCCCATCGCCAAACACAAAACACCTAGCTAAGATGGTGAGAACAACTCGTGCCAACTCCAAGAACGTCGAGGACAGGAACCTGGCCCTCAGCGAAGTCGATGTCCCCGAAGCCTCTAACAGGGCTCCCGGGGGCGGCGTCATCGCCGGGTTGGACCAGACGGCTGTCGACCTACGCCATCAAATTCAACAGAATGACCCCGATGCCCGCCTCGGCATCGAGGCCAAGAAGAAGGACCGGAGCGAGAATCAAATTAGCCCTCCGGTCATCACCATCGACGTGCATTCGGCGTTTTCCGCCTTCATCCAGACGCTCACCAAGAACCCAGGTGCCTTCGGCACTTTGGTTCCCCTCCAGCCTTAGGTAGGGGAGAATGTCATGCCTCCCCCTCAGCCACACCTCCTCGGGAACCCTGTCCTCCGGATTGGGAACGTCGAGGGGGTCATGGCCCAAGATACGGCCTCCCAGGAAGTCCAATAACGGGACCGCCACAATGTGAATAAAGAACAGCTCCGGACCTCCGCCCTCGAGAGACTCGGGGGGGCACAGGACCGCCGAGGGGTCCAAGACCGCTTCGGGGGGGGAGACGTTCCAGAGGCCTCAGGAAAGTGGCGGGTCCGTCTCCAGGGCCAATGAAAGACGTCCCCCTCGGGACAAAGGCAAGGCACCTCTCCATACCGACGACGTCCGTCACCAAATCAACCAGGCCCACTCGGCACGTGTCCATTCGCAGGGGGCGGAGGCCCTCCCGAAGGACCCCTGGGACGAAATCATTGCGGCCCTCCAGCGCCGGCTTGACGAGATGGAGGCCACCAAAGCACACGCCGCCACTTCTGCCCCTCATACGGACCTCAAGTATGAGGCCATGTTGGCCAAGATGGAGGAATTGCAGAGGAAGATAACCGAGGGCTCCGGGGAACCCACCATACAGCTCCGGACCCGGACGCCATTCACCCCAAGGGTGTTGGCGGCCCGGATCCCGGAGAAATATCGAGGGCAAGCTCTTCATCCTCCGCCTCTTGCTCAAAGCTCTCGGCTTCAACTTCAGCCATTAACTCTTTCTGCATCTCAACGGCGAGGGCGACATCTACACCGGCCGAAGGCTGCTCACTCAGGGACTCCGCGTCGGAGAAGACTTCCTCTTCAACCGAGGACTCCCTCGATATGTCTTGGGAATCACTAGCGGACGACATTTTTTATAGGCTAATGAATACGGAAGTCCTAAAGTCCGAAGGCACCCTAAGAAACTCTAGACACTTAAGTCTAAGGCCACATGAGCAAAACTCACCAAATAAACGGAGAACAGAAGAGGGACTGACCTTGAAAGCTGGGGATTCAACCGAAGGCTGGAGTTTCTCTCTCTAGAAATTTTGGCAGAGCTTCGCTAACAATATGATCGCAAAAGAGAAATGATGCCCGGCCATGGGGTATTTATAGGCGCCCAGATTCGGGCTTGGGCCCAAAAATCGGGCCTCCGGTCACAAAATCATCATTACGAGCCGTGGTTTCACCCAACCGGTAACGCCGCCCGCGGGCGACCAACGAGCACGCACCACGTGGAAGCCCCCCCCCAACGGCTATATTTTGACGATAGGTATTCCAACGACTATATTTACAACGGCCATATTCTGGGAGCTCCCGGCTATATTCAGCAAACCACTCCTTCATCAACCAAGAAACTAGCCCCCGGGCTTTCTACTTCACTCCACTTCATTAAGAGGAGCCCCCGGGTGCACTTACCCAGAGATGCTCCCGGTTTATGCCCCTCATACTACATAACAAATGCCTTCGGGCTCACTCCTTCAGAAGCCCACAGCTTCATAACGGGCACACCCCTCGGGGACCATCGGGCCTCAAACACATTGAAGACCATAAAGCCCCCGGGGGAGCGCGCCTTCATCAAAAGGCGCCCTCCACTCACCAACAAACAAGGGCCCCCTCGGCTACACCACATTCATCACCCCCTCCTTCTCATAATTTGGGGGCTCCCCCTTCGGCATCTCTCAGAAAAAACAACAGGACCCTCCGCTAATCAACACATGCGCCCTCAGAACAAGGATAGTCTTCGGCATCAGCATTGTACTCCATTTCAAACCAGGGCTTCACATTTTCGATTCATCATTGGGGGAATTCGGTGCACTCTTTTTCCCTCATTAGGATTTTTTCCCATAGGGTTTTTCCTAATGAGGTTTTTAACGAGGCATCCCCCCAAAATGAAACGAAAAGCGTCACCCCTCGGTTTTATATTGCAAACAGGCACTACTCTACTCCTTTTCACCACTTTACAAGTGCCTCAAGGAGTGGAGGACTGGAGGACCCCTCCAGGAAAATCTCTCAAAACACAAAAAATGTCAAAAAAAACTCACACAACAAACGAGCATGATCCCTCAAGTCCCGGAATGTGGGTAACTGAGGGACTGCCCTCGGCAGAATAAACAAACAACAAACTACTCACAACTTTACAAACAACAACGGAACAACGGCAGAGGACAAACACAATTACTCCTTTTCCCTCAAGTACCTTTCGGTAAAAGGAGTGAGGGACTCCTGATGGAGTATATGGCCCGGGAACCCCCGGTCCACAGACTCCTACTACTCCAATAAAGGCCCAACAGGCCCAGGAAGCACAGCAGGCCCAAATCACGGCGCCCCAAGTACTAAGCAACCCACGTGGCACACTAGGGATGACTTCGGCCCCCTGGCCGAAGGTTCCAATTCTCACAGGATGGCCAAATCAAGAAAACAAAGTTACTGGGAGAAAACGACGAAAATCAGTAGCCCTCGGCACCTAGAGCCCTCGGCACTAAGGAGGTCCCCGACATAATATCCGCTCCACATGCGCAGGGATCACCGTACAAGTATGACGTCCCATCCAACAGCCGCATTAAATGCGGCCACATGCGATTGTCAGCGCCAACCAGTTGAGGTGACCCCTCGGCCAATGGATGCTTGACACGTGTCCCTATCTGGCATTTATTGCTACTATAAATAACACCTCATTTCCACATTTGTAACCCAGAAGCAAATACGTTGAATACATTTCTAATATACTCTCTCTCTCTCTCTCTACTTACTTGCTCTGACTTCTCTCTAGTTATTCCCCGTAATAACCCCTCGGATAAGCTACCCCCCGGATATACTATCCATCATGGTCATTACTCATTAGTGGAGCAAAGGTGCTTGTTCGGACTAGGGGGTGCAAAAAATATTTTGAAAAAACTTTTACACGGAACTGTTCACCTTAAAAATTAAAAAAATATTTTTTAAATTTGGCGTGAGCTCCCGACCCGAGTCATTTCCCTAGATCCGGCCATGGACCAGTGATGCACCCGACCCGAGCCATTTCCATCTATGCGGCTGTGCCCCCGCTTTAGAAAACTTCTGAGGTTCATATCCTATACGACTTTTGGTTTGTTTGGTCAACATCATTTGATCATCCAAACACTCCTTGCTTCAAGGCCCAAAATCATTTTGATGGCCTTGTAAGTCCAAACCAACATTAAGATCCGAGAATGACGATAATTCAAAATATCTTCCTAAGATAGTGTGAAAAGCTCTGTTTTGACAGACACATATCACGACTAGCATAGTTTAAATGGTGGTCATATTGGGAAAGCAATTTAGATTTATAATTATTCGGGACTAATAATTTCACACATGCAGCAATCAAATATTTAAATAAATAATTTAAAACTATTGTAGTTATATAGCATGATCCCAAAATCTTCATATCTCCTTGACATCTTCAACCTGTGTAGTATATTACTAAATATCTACGGGGTTGAAAAACATTACAGGGGATGGTGGGAAAAACGACACGCAGGCCGTAAAATAACATAATATAAAAACATACATTTGGATCATGCTATACCACCAATTCAAACTGTCCCTGTGACGAAACAAAATAATTGTGCATGCACGGATTGAAAATTAAACTTTAAAATTCGCAAGTAATATGTAACTAATTCGGATCTCATCCGAAAAATAAAATACATATTAATGAATTCTAAAATTATTCGTATTATATATGTACATATACAGATCATATCCGTAATAGATTAATACACATATATAATATG